GCGGACTGATGAGTGTCTGCATAAAGGTGAAGGGGTGAGACAGGGTTCCATATACTGAAACTGAAGCTCAAATACTTTGGCCACCCAATGAGAAGGAAGCACTCACTGGAGAAGACCCTGATGCTGGGAAATATTGAAGAAGGGGACGGCAAAGGATGAGATGGTTAGACAGTGTTATCGATGCAATGAACATGAAGCTGAGCAAACTCCGGAGGACGACAGAGGGCAGGAGGGCCTGGCGTGATGTGGTCCATGGGGTTGCAGAGAGTTGGACTCGACTGTGCAACTGAACAACAACAACTAATCAAGCAAATTACATTTTGCCTGTATTTGAAGAAGCGTGCTTACACACAAATGAATGAAATGAAACTCTGTTGGTCTGAAAGGTGCCACTGGACTCTACACTTTGCATTGTACCTCTGCATCCTTATTCCTTTCTTTGCAATGCAGTCAGGAACAGTCAGGGTTGATTTCTTTTAGGATTGGCTGATTTGATCTCCTTGCAGCCCAAGGGACTCTCAAGAGTCTTCTCCAGCACCATAATCCAGCACCAGCTTGATTAGAGCAGAGGATAAATGTTATGGGGTAGAAAATTAGGATTGGCAGTGAGATAAAAATCAATTCCCCCCCCCTGTTCAGTCCTGGGGGGCACATTGTTCTGGAGTTCATTCCAAAATCAGAACAATGGTCCCTCCAAGGCTGAACCAGACACAGGTTTCTTATCTCACTACAAATGGTAATTTTCTGTCCGTGAGCCTTTCTCATCTGCTATAATCAATCTGATTACAGTGTGCATTGTAGCTGCATCCTGAGTTTCTTCTTTGCCAACACCTTTCCTACCTTCATAAGAACATAAGAGAAGCCAATGTTGGATCAGGCCAATGGCCCATCCAATCCAACACTCTGTCACACAGTAGCCAAAAATACCAGGTGCCATCAGCAGGTCCAACAGTGGGGCCAGGACACTAAAAGCCCTCCCACTGTTCCCCCCCCCCCAAGCACCAAGAATACAGAGCATCACTTGCCCCAGACTGAGAGTCCCTATCTATACCTTTTGGCTAATAGCCACTGATGGACCTCTGCTCCATATGTTTATCCAATTCCCTCTTGAAGCCGTCTGTGCTTGAAGCTGCCACCACCTCCTGTGGCAGTGAATTCCATGTGTTAATCACTCTTTGGGTGAAGAACTACTTCCTTTTATCAGTTCTAACCCGACTGCTCGGCAATTTCACGGAGTGCCCACGAGTTCTTGAATTGTGAGAAAGGGAGAAGAGTACTTCTTCCTCAATCATGTCACCCCTCAGCCGTCGTTTCTCCCAGCTAAAGAGCTCCAAGCGTGTGTGCCCTCAAGTCGTTTCCAACATACGGCAACCCTGTCAATTAATGTCCCTCCAAAATGTCCTCTAATTAACAGTGTTGCTCAGGTCTTGCCAAGTGAGGCCCCTCGTGGCTTCCTTGATGGAGTCCGTCGGTCTCACGCTGGGTCCTCCTCTTTTCCTGCCACCTTCAACTTTTTGCTTGTGATTGTCTTTCCCAGTAACTCTCATCTTCTCATCATATGACCATGATGAAACAAGGCCTGCTCTGGCCGGCAGACCCTGTTCTTCTGCCCACCCCCTCCTTGGTTGGTGCCAACTCCTGGAGATCAAATTGTAATTCTGGAAGAGTATAGCTCCTGGAGGAAGCTGGCACCAGCCAAGGAGGGAGGTGGGCAGAAGAACAGGGTTCCATCACTGTTCCATCACAGTGGCCAAAGTAGGATAGCCTCAGTTCAGTCATTTTAGCTTCTAGGGAGATTTCAGGCTTGATTTGACCTAGACCTGCCTTCCTACCAGGCTTGTAGCTACAGTGGGACATCTTGGGGCCTGGCCCCCTGACTGGCCACCAAGGCCCCCCAACTTCCCATCCAGCCCAGGTGCTCCCTTGGGGGTGTGTGTGCAGGGGTGTGTGTGGGGTGCCCGTTGACTTATTTAAAGGCCCCCAGAATTAAAAAAAAATCCTGGCTACCAGCCTGCTTCCTACTAAGATGTAAGGACTGAACATAAGAGACGCCAATGGTGGATCAGGCGAAAGGCCCATCCAGTCCAACACTCTGTCGTCACACAGTGGCCAAAAATACCAGGTGCCATCAGGAGGTCCATCAGTGGGGTCAGGACACTAGAAGCCCTCCCATTGTTGCCCCCCCCCAAGCACCAAGAATACAGGGCATCACTTGCCCTATCTATAGGTAAAGGTTCCCTTGCTCGAAAGCCAGTCGAATCCGACTCTAGGGTTGCGGTGCTCATCTCCGTTTCAAAGCCGAAGAGCCAGCGCTGTCCAAAGATATTTCCGTGGTCACGTGGCCGGCATGACTGAACATCAAGGCGCACGGAACGCTGTTCCCTTCCCACCGAAGTGGTACCTATTTATCTACTTGCAATTTCTTGCTTTCGAATGGCTAGGTTGGCAGGAGCTGGAACTAGAGATGGGAGCTCACTCCGTCATGCGGCACACTCGGGTCTCGAACTGCTGAACTACCGACCTTCCACAGCCTGCAGTTCATCTATCTATACCTTGTGGCTAATAGCCACTGATGGACACCTGCTCCATATGCCTATCTAATTCCCTTTTTGACTGAGAGCTCTCCATTCCACCTTCTATATGATGAACGGTGCTTTGACTCTGGAAAGCCCATACCCCAAAAATCTTGTTGGTCTCTCAGGTGCCACTGGGTTCGAATCCAGGTGTTCTACTGCAGACCAACACGGCTGCACTCTGAAGACTAATCTGAACTCTTGACTTCCTTCCCTTTTTATCATTTTCTTCTAAGGAACACAAGGAAGGGGCGCATTTCTCTCCCGCCTTCCCATTCATCCTCACAACAACCCTGCGAGGTAGATTTTGGCCGAGACAGAAAGACCTGAAGTCACCTAATGAGTTTTCATGCTGAGCCAGGCATTTAAATCCCTTGGGAGAAATTCCAAGTAGGTCAACATTAAAATCCTACTCCAGTTTATTCAGCGGGGCTGGCTCCCAGGAATGAATTCTTAGGATGGCTCTGTGTGCGTCCCAGATCCTGGCACAACATTTTAAGAGGGGTAAAGTAGTATTTTTTGAAAGAAACCATTCTGGGGGAGAAATTTCAGATTGAAAAATGCACCACTCCGCACAAGTAACAGCTGAATTATAGCTACCCGGTGGGGTTTTCAGGGCAAAAG